CAACATGCTGAAAGTTGTAAAGACCCAAGTGTGCAAAAGTTTTCGTTTCTTGTCATAATATTAATTTCTTTTTTGAGGCCATATGAGAGCAGTGAAATGTGGTATAATTACTGCTGCTGAAACATCATCCGGTGAACTGAAGATTACTGCCAGCAGACCCAGAAAATAATAACCATATATAGCAAAACTGAATTCATTGCGAGAATCTCATATCCGAAGTAACATCATCTTGGATAAGTAGTTACAGGTTACAGGAAAACAGAGTGATGCACGTTGCATGGCTTTATACATCAGAGGAAAGTTAACCTCATTGGTATGGCTTGTACACATTGATTGCAAAGAATGCGAAAGAATCTGTCGTTCTTGAATATGTAACCATGCACCTCTTGGAAGGGTCTACCGCACAAAAAAGTGAATAATTGCACTCAAGTAGTCTGCCAACTGAAAGAAATAAAAAAATATTTACCTATCGTCCCAGTAAATTTTAAGCCGAATGGACCTAGGAGAAAATGAGTGTATATCAAATGCTCATCCACTTGGGTGTGTTTTGTGCTTTCGAGTGCGTGGGTGCGTTGTGTAATTGTGTTCAGGCAAGAACATTGTGCATATATGACTTGAGGATATGAGCGAATCTGAGAAAAAATTTACATATTTTCACCTGCATTAGAATACTTTTTCCAGTTTGACCCTCAATAATCCAAGCCAGCTGTGAGACCAATCATTGCCCATGCTCCATTGATTGCCTCAATTTGACGTCTCCTCTACAGTCACAACATTAAGTTGATTCAATTGAACAGATTAACGGGGCCCCACTAGACTACCTGTGCAGTTCCTGACAAACACTTTTGGTTCCCAACAGTGGTAGGAGGAAAAAGACTAGCTAAACTTGTACGCTTCTAAAATAACAATCAAGCATCTTATAAATGGGCATCCTAATTTATCACGTATATGGAAACACATACAAAGATATTGAGCGGGCGTGTGTGTGTATAAAGAAAAGAATATCCTTATAAACATAAACAACAGAAATAAACATGAAATTTCTGTGTTTGACAAGCCCATACATTTTATAAGCAGGTTTCCAAGTGTTTGGGAAACTAAAATTCACTAGCAGACAAGTTACCAATCGCCGTGCTCATTTGATGGCAGTAATTATTGGAAAATAAGAAACTTCCAAGTCAATTGAATTCCAGGAATTTCTCATGGGATGTAAGGGGAACACATGCCGGACCTCTTGAGATCCGCCAGAGTTCAACAGATGTATTTTCACCTAAGATGTAATTTTAGCTAATACCACTCCCCTCAAAGAAAGAAAGAAGAGAAAAAAGAGATAAAATTGTGTGCAAATCACACATAGGTAAACAATATCAAATCCTAACAAAGATTTCATTCACCTTGAGTTTCTCCCTTGTTTTAATTTGTGCCATTTGTTTGGCAGCCAATCGCTTGGCTTCTACAGGATCAACCATGTTCACATCATTCTTTGAACCATCTTTCCCCGAAGAAACCTGCCGCAATAATGAAAAATGAAGATTTTATTAAAGGAAAGATAGCATGCCATAAAGAGCAGAGCCAATTTATCTTCAGATAGTAATAAATTAGCATGTCACAGGAGAAAAAGGGGACACAAACTTGTTTGTTATCTTAACACAAGCTAAAGATGGAAGGCAACAAATATTAGCAACAGAAGGTCATAGAACTCAACGTACTTCAGAGAAATATTTCATTATAGCATATTAAATGACACAAATCCAAACTGAGCATGAATTAGTCTAGCAAAGAACCAAGTAGTTTGGATGAAATCAGCATGCAATGGCCCATGGAAGACACTGCTCAAGAAGATAGCAGTCCTCATCTTCTAACAGAGTGGTGCCTGATGGTGATGTTTAGCATATAAATGATCATGATCACAAATTTTATAGCACAGCATTTAGACACAGATGATATTAGCAAGTTTGAAAACCTTGGAAGTTTAGGGAGGTTAAGAATGCTTTCAATGTACAACTCCAGTTTTCTCGTCTATTTCCAGTGGGCAGCAATTGCATTAGTCATAAAACCGATAGAACAAGCATCCTTAATGCATCACATTGGGGAAACTACACCAACTCTCAGATCAGGACTGACTGGGATATGCCAGGTCAGTCTCCCCTCGAAATTAACTTAATTGATGTTCGCAGCGATAGTCCCCAACCCCCCCCTTTTCTTCCCCTGGGAATTTTTTGGGCCAAATGATTCACAAATGTAATTCAAAGTATTTAAAAGCGCACAACTCCTGACTATAGCACCACTTCTACCTTCATCATTCCCTGCTTTTTTCTCACAATTTTCTGTTATTTTTCTTCACTCATGCACTTGTCTCATTTTGCAAGTGCATGTTTGGTTCAACATTACTGCATAAACCATGAATGAGATCATACCTAACGTTTTGATAGGTTCCAACAGTTTATATAAGCAATTCAAAAAGAGACATATGATCCTTTCCTCTCCTAAGGTTAGTTCTTTTAAGTCAACAATGGATCTGAGGTATTTCTTACTCATAGACATTTCACGCCAGAGAAGAATATTATAAGTCATCATACCACACGAGTGTAAGGAACAAATTCATGCATGTTCCAGAAGTAAAAGATGACACCAAGATCAAGCAAATTGCTAATATCATCAAGATTGATATCTATTAGAAATCGTTGTAGATTAATTTCTCTAACAATAATCTCCACGCATGCTTCTACATCAAATCACTCAATCAAATCACCCCTCTTTCTAGTCTATAAAAACGACATATACTATATATAAGAAGCACAAAGATGTCCAGACTTGATGCGTACACTGGAATTTGCCAATATTCGAATTGCTTGACCCCTGGTTCTGCTGGAAACTAAGCCTGCATCTTGGTCCCTTCTCCATTGCCATCTGAAATAAAAAGGGGATTATTATTTTTCTCCCATTTCATTGGGTTGCCAATAAGTAACAAAATATCTTAATCAAACATCAGTTTCACCGGCATAAGCTCGTAAAAGATTTCAATAGAATCAAAGCTCTATAACTAACTGGGTCTATCAGATTCCTGCAGAGTACGTCATGAACAGAGTAAATCTGATGAGCACTTGAGGCCTTTTTCTTGAGAAATCAGCAATAAAACACCAGTAGCTCTTGAAGGTGCTAAACCCTCAAACTGGTACTGATATCTTTTATTGTAAAAAACCCATCATGGCAAAGACTAATTGGTTTTCATCAAAATCTAGCAATAATCTGCCAGAATAGAATGAACCCTCTTATTTTCATTCCAATATTAAAACCAAGTCTCTTGTTCTGCATGCCATGCTATTTTCTGCCACATCAATTTTTAAAGAACTGACAAGCTATTACAACAAAGTACGATAAAAATCAATCTAGCAGAAAAATATATTTTAGAATTCCCAAGGAAAGCAGCAAGTTCAAGCTGGAATTATTGTCCAAATTCCATACACATATTCGACACCTGAATGGAGAAGTAATCACTAGTCATTTTATTTAATGGAATGTTTCGACTCATTCCCAGTTACTGGTTACGTATGATACCAAGATGAGCAACGGTACCGCTTCATAAATAAAGTACCCATCAATCATTAAGGCGGGGATCCATATTTCACAAAAAATTATGCTTTATAACCAGTCGCCAACATAAGTTCGTAGAACTGGCTGAGGAAATTGAATTGCAGATAAATCCGGGAAGATTCGAGAGCCCAGTTCAGTTCTCTTCCATTAAAATTTCGGCAGCACAAACGTGATTATAAAAAGAATGGAAACCCAAACATGTAAGAATATCAGATTAAGGATTGAACTCATTCGAAATATGTTTCTCATCCGTTGAAAGAATTGGTCTTGGAAACAAGTGTTATAAAGAACATGGAGGGAAGCAGAGGCCCCTGAGACGATAGCTGAACTTACTTGAGGATTGCGGCAGAGTGATGTTGACTAGGGAAACTTGGTGAAGGAGAAGATGGAAGGCGACCGTTGATCGTTGGCAGAATAGTGAAGGCCATATTCCAGAGGCTTCCTTTCAGCCCCGTTTATCTGTTCCGGGCTTTTTGTGACCGGTAGCAAAAGCTGAAGCCGACAAAATTTAACTGTGCTCAAACCAAATATTAAAATATAAAAAATTGGGGAAAAAATATCTAATAAAAATTTTAGTGATGAAAAAACTTGATAAATTTTTATACCCAAAAAGTAATACTACCTCCTATCCTAATTATAAGATCTCGTTGATAGATTATAAATAAGGTCTTATAATTAGGATAAATATGGTACTCTAATTATAAAATCTCGTTGATAGACTACAAATGATGTTTTATAATTAGGACAGAGGTAGTACTCTGTAAATTTTGTACAAAATATTAGTATTTAAATTTAAATATTTCATCAATAAAATTTTAATGGTATACTTTTCTTCAACTTTCTCAATATATAAACAATTTTTAATTCGGTAGAACTTGATTTACAAAATGTGTAAGAAGGTCCGGTCAGGGGAAAAGAAAAAGCACAAACTAATATTAAGACAACCTTTATATTTTCATAAAAATTTCTATGTTAAGCATAATTCAATGATTTGAAAGTTTCTCATAATATTTCTTTATTTTTAAAAGGAATAGTTCCATGGAATTCTCCTATTAAACTTGCATTTTAGATATTTTATTTTTTCACTTAATAATATAACCAATTCTTTTAAAAAATAATTCACTGAGATGAATTTGAAATATATTTAAATCAATTTGTTGCCTTTTTTTGTATTTTGACCATTTAATTGTTTATTTTTAATAACTATTTATTAATAAAAATAAACTAATATAAGAGTTCACGATTCGCGTTTCTACATGAATTTGCTTTAACTTGTGAGTTTCACAATATTACCTGCATGCAATTTGGACATTCTAATTATAAGTCTCAGGATTGATTTGGTTGATATTGATACTAAGATTTAGCAAATTTGCAAGTGGAACAACAAGGCAAAAAAGGAGACGAGATGGGCAATCGAAATTCGGATCACTTTATATCATAATGGGGACAAACATACTATAAATACTATTATGACAAAGCCAACATGGATCAAGTCGAAGCGACACTGAATAGGAATTAATCAATAATTTCTTAACTATACTCAAGCCATTATTAAAACTACACCACCCGCACATAATATAAGACTTAGTTTATAGTTTCCAAGCTACATACTAGATTTTCTGTTAAGGATATACGAGAAAGTAATACCCGAACCACACTGCCCGTAATGAACAAGCAGCTATATACACACGCTGTGATCACACTCCTACGGCCATAGTCGTCCTATAATGGTATTTTATGCTGTAATCATTGGCTCATGGGCAACCTTAATGTATTCAAAGCTTCCTTGCAATTCAACCTCTTCTCCGTGGTTCTGCTTGCATTTATGGTAAAACACTGTGTATGCCACCATAAGTGACATGTTCAACACAGAAACAACGTTCCAAAATATCAGATCCACTAACAGCGAAGAGTATACTCCAATCCTTTTCTTCGTCCTGAAAAACCAGATATACGCAATCAAACCAAACATAATATTTAGCAGAAACCCTTGTAACTTCGATCCCTTCAAAATCTGTGAAGCCTTCCCAAAAGAGTCAACTCCACTTTTCTCCTCAAGTACTGAAACAACAATAGACATCTTCCAAACAACTGCCAAGTACATATGAAAAGCTGACGCCAGAAACAGTATCACATAGAGGAATATTGTTGGGCGAAATGGAGAAGCAAAGTTCAGGGCGAAGGGAAAAATCGAAAGGAGCATGAGGAAAATATAACCAAGATCAAAGAGAAATATGTAGAACCAAGTTATAAACAGCCTTGGACAAGATTTGACTGAAGCAGTTGACACAAGATCTCTGAAAGATATGTTTCCTTCTCCATAAGTTATAGCTGAAGCTAAAACAGCAGTGGCAGATGAGAATAAGGAGGCCACAGTGAGGGCAAGAGCGAAGAACCATTCGAGTCCTACTAATTCGTGTAAATCTGCTGTCATCGCGGTAACGATGTGGGTATGCTGAGAGCTACGTGGACTCGTCAAAAACAGACGAGTTTCCTCCATGTGAAGATCTTTCATTAAAGGCTTGATGGAGAAGAATTTGCAGGAGACCAGGAAAGAATGAAGGAGGAGGATGAGTAAGGCGATGCAGGCCATAAGGCTTTTGTTTTTCAGGAAAATGAAAAGGGATTCTCTTAGAATTCTCACAAAGCTTGAAATCGAATTGGATTCCATCTTGCAGATGAGTGTTGTTGATATCTCAGATTGAACTTTATGGCACAGGAAAGAGGACAGGCAATGGCTATCTCCTTATATTAGGCTTAGCGTTTTTCCTTCTGATGAATTAGTCCTATATTTCCTGGGTTTGACTTTGAATTGAAAGGAAATTACAGAGATATCTGCTAACTGATATTGATATTACAACAAAACGCGAAAGAATAATATATAAAATAGTGGGCGCCGTACACGTAGAAAAATGTTACACAAAAATATATAAAATTTCTGTAGGAATATATTGCGGATTATTTTAATTAACCTAAAGTTTGACGTATGGATGGGATGACGATCGCAATGTGTAATATAAAATGTTGAGGTTGAATTATTCTTGAAGGAAAATTTATGATAATTAGTTGATTAGTCCTTCACAATAATAGCTTGGTATACTAGTCAAAGCATTTTTTATGCATTATATTACCTCCGGTTCTTAATATAAAAATTAGTTAACTAATTAAAATATATTAAGAAAGTTAATTAAGTTATTTATATATAATAAATTAGTGTTGTCTTTTCTAAAATACTTTTATTAATTATGCTCATGTATTAGCTAAAATTCTCTCTTCTTGTGGGAGCAAAACTCTCTCCTCCATGAGAGCCAAAACCGCCCTTGGTGAGTGTTTTTTCTCGGCGTCCTTTTCCCGGCAACTGGAGGAGAGTGAGTTTGGTGTGTGCTCATCAAAGAGGATAGCGAGAGCTGGAGCGATGCCAGCAATAGAAGGAAAGGAGGATGGAAGGATCAGACCAAGATTAACGACGTTGAAAGCGGAATGGCTGACAGAAAGTTTGGGATCATTATGGAAAGGAGCGAAGATGCACTACTATAGCAAAAACTTTTTACCCCTATCTTGAAAGATTTTTTTACTTCTGTTTCATAAGGAACATAAAAAAAAACATAATAAATACCCCATATTTCACTTTTGTTTTGGACAGACAAGAAAAATAGGACATTTTAGGTCTATTCAAAACAGAAGTAAAAAAATAGGATTTTTCTCGTTGTTTTTACAAAACAGAAGTAAAATTTCTTATTTTTTATCTGTTTTTATAAAACAGAAGTAAAATTTATAAAAACAGACAAGAAAAGTGATTTAAAAAAAAAAGATTTTTTTTGAATGTCCTCTACTTATTATTATTACATATAAAATTATTTTAATATATCTAATGAAATTAATCAGAAATAGTTACACTGTATTCGGTATAAAAAAAAAAAAGTCTGTCCAAAGATCAATAAAAGAAATCATCGCAATTACAATACAAAAAATCAACTATCAACGCATTGGCTCATCATTATTTAATCCAAATCTTAAAGAGACCCTACCTTTTGATTTGCCAAGAAAATACTGAAAATAAAAAGTATATTATTGTGTCAAATAAAACCAAACTTCAAAGACTATATAAAGTGTATTACTGGGTCAAATAAAACCAAATTACAGCTGTATAATTCTAGACAGAAAAAGTTTCAGTTTCCTTTTATAAGTTATTGATCAAAACTGGTTCAAGGGCAGCTAAATGGTAAGTAAACATTCATAAAAACATTGTCTCCCATGAGCAAAAAGAAAATGAAAAGAATAAGACCCGTAAAATGGTCTGCTTACATTAGCTTGGAATCTTATACTGTAATTTTTCCCTGCAGATTAAATTTTTTCCAATCATAGATAATCAATGAACAAGCACAAATATAACAGAACATGTAATTTATGACCTAAGAAAGCCCAAAGGCCAAAAAAGGGAACACAGATCATATATACTAGCAGAGTAACAAGCTTTTGTGAGTTAATCAAACATGTCTTAATTCAATAAATCTGAATTGGAAAGTAAATAACATGAGATGCAAAGAGAAAACTGAAGTACCTTCTTGGGATATTAAACTCCTTCAGGTGGCTGAGTAATGTGCTCTTTCCTATTCACATTCTCATGGCTAGAGTAAGTAGATATGTTTATTGTCTAGAAACAATAATCTCATTCACTCAACATTTGCTCCGTCACCAAAACAGATTTGCAACTGTATCAACCCATGTTACAACTAAGTATCAAGATCACATATTGACATGTCAAAAAAATCTGGGAAATCTACTTATCCCGCAATGACATTGCAAAGATAGAAGGATGATAAATAGCCAGCAACTGACAGTAAAACTTACCATCCAACCTTTAACCCACAAAAATATACTTACAATGCTGCTAAATTGGAGATTGAAAAAATGGCTGAATTTTTACAGGTATAAAAATAGGATTCAGGGAGGAAACCTTTAATAATAGATTCCCTGGGTGTCTTGAATCCAAGTCCAATAGACTTCCAAAAGCCATTACCTCCTTTTCCAGGCCCATTTCCCTTCCCAGATTTCTTCGAGCTTCAATGCTGAAGCAGCTAGCCACAAACAAATTAAACAAAACAAGAACAACAAACTTAAAAGAAAACAAACGAAGAAATAAATTTATTTATTTCAAATTTGTGTACCTTAAAAACACTTTTGGCTACTTCAGAGAAGCCTTGTTACTCTGCTGAAAGGAAAACAAACTGAAAAACATCAATGAATGATAGATCGAAAACTAGGAATTATTGATAAAAATTAAAACAGAATTAAGGATCTAAATACTTCTTCCACCGTGGTTGAAGCTCTTGAAGATTAGAACTAAGTTAGGGAGCAGAGTGGCAAAATGTAAAGGGTTCGAGAGCAGCAGCCAAAAACTCTACCCATATTCATGATTCAAACACTCATAAACCAATGAAATTAATGATTGAAATAGAAACACCAAAATAAAAGAAGCAGATTCAGTGCAAATACTCAGTAACTAATTTTCGATTTAGGAAACAAAAAAAAGAGCAAGCAAAAACCCAACAACTTTAGCCCTTACCGTAGGTGGAGAAGAACGGAGAGACCACTGCAAGCTGGAGAAGGAGGGAAGAAAAGTTGTGAGCTACTGAGAAGAGCAAACAGCGTCATAAGCTTCAATGGGAGAGAGCGTCGACCGCAAGCTGGAGAGAAGAAGGGTAACTGCGTCTCTAAGCTTTAGATATGAAGATGTATGTACTGAAATAATAATTTAAAAAAACACCCTCTGCTCTGTTTTTACAGAACGGACGAGAATATTAACATATTCCTGTCTATATTTTAAAACCGGAGGAGAAAATTTTTTCTTGTCGACTGTTTATTAAAAACAGACGAGAATAGCTTACTTTTTTTTGTCTGCTTTACAAAACAGACAAGAATGATAATTTTTCTCCTCTGTTGTTTATAACGGAAGTGAATAAGAGAGGTAAAAAGTAGTTTTATAACAAAGACGGTTTGGGATTGAAGTTCTAAGGTCGAGATTGGCCATGTTGGAAGGAGGATGAGCGAAGGGAAGATCAATATCTCACATGCAGATCTGGTGATTCCTTTAAAATGAAATGCGTCTATTCTAGATCTTCAAAATGATTGCAAATTAAGACAATTTGATAAGAGAAGGAGATTTGGGAATGAAACCTGTAGAAAGTAAGGGGTCTTGTGGTGGAGATATGAATATAATTAATAAACCTGTCAAAGTCTTGTGAGGTGAAAAATTCTAGTTCTTTTAAAAACCTCACTGTAAACTCCTTGTATGGTTTATTTGCTGGATTTTCATTGTGCGTTATGCTATTTGCAGTAATCTATGCCTCTCGATGGGTTTGACGCTTGAAGATGTTTTTCTGAAATTGCAACCAAGGGTGTTGATAGTTTTGATTTTTGTTGGTCTGAACATTTGATGTTTGTTGAGCTAATGGTTACTGCAGGTTTGTCAACAGTTATTTAGGGCTTTAGTTTTCTCTCTTATCATGACAGGGATGCTTTTGAGAAGATTGATTTTAACTTGACATTTAATATTAACTCGGCTGTTTTTGTTGCGTCAAGCTTTGTTGGGGTGATGTGGTTTTCGAAGTGTGGTGAATTGCTTAGCTTCCTTGTGGCTTTCAGTAGAGGCTTTCTGAAAAATAAGGATGATGCACCGTGAGTACCACCTAGATGTCTCTGTTTTTTATCTTAGAATTCAGGTAAGGGCATTTGTGGGGACACATGGTTTTGAAATGACGATGAGGAGTGTTTTTTCTACGGTTTAGATGATGAGTTACTCGTTGATTGGAAATCCAGAGGATAAAATGCCTTGGTTCTTTATTTTGGCTACTAAGCTGCAGGTGGCAGAGCTTTCTTCTTAAACACATATCTTTTATGAAAAATGTTGAGTGTTGGAACTTAGCTTCTTTGGTTAAACTCATGAGTTGATTAATAGGTTTGTGGCTTTTATGGTTGGGTTTTTAACCCCTTAATCCTAGTTTTTCTCTTGTTCTGTTTGTGGCTCCTCTGGATTGATATTTGGCCAATGCTTTTTTTTTGTGCTATCTTGATGATCTCCTTTACTCTCATGAAAGAGACCTAGAGCTCCATTGACATTGGAGGATGCTTGCATTACTGTTCTTGTTCTTTTGTTGTTTTGTTATTGGAAGAATGTTGTTTGCAATTTTTGTCCCTATTGTTTTCGCTATGTTTTTTTGTTGCTTTAGTTGTCTTGGATTTTTTGAGGTATATTGGTTTTTTGTTTTAATGCAATCTCCTTTTTTACACAAAAAATTATTTATGTTAACTAGAATTACCATTTGATAAAAAAAAAATATAGGAGACAAAATTAATTGAGATTTTATATTTAAAACTAAATTAAATATAAAATTATATTAGGAAAATATATCACTAAATAAATACTGAAAGTTTATCATTTAATTAGGAGTTTGACTTTTTGATAAGACTTGATGCAAAAATAATAAATATTTTATTAAGGCTTACATATTTGAAGAGACTAGATTAGGGCTTCAAGAAAATGACTTCGTGAGTACTCTTGAAATATCTAATTAAGACTGAGCAAGTAACTTGCAACCCGCATTACCTGCCGTGGCTCTCAAAAAATTTGCCCATTTAGGCTCGTCCAAAAAGTGTGCAAAATAGGCAGGCTCAAACAGACAGGTTACTAGAATAAACGGGTGGACTGTAGGCACATCCACAAGTTGCCGTGCCTACCTATTTAATTTTTTTATTTTTTATATCTTTGTGTTTTATTATAGTACATTTAATTTGTACTATACTCATAAAACGTGGCTCCAGTTTACGGGTAAAGGAAAGTTTATTAATTATCAGGGTAGAGTACATGGTTCAATTCTCATACTCTTCAAAGTAACCATTTTTTCCCTCAAATTTTAGATAAAATATTAAAATCTTAATTTTTTAAATCCTTAAAAACTCAAAGTAACCTTACTTTTTTCACCTCTTGAACTTCATTCCTTCTTCTCCCTCCCTTCACCGATTTTTGCTTTTTTCACCTCCTCAACTTCGTTCCTTCTTCTCCCTCCCTCTGCTAATTTTTTTTTTCTTCACCTCCTCAACTTCGTTCATTCTTCTACCTCCCTCTATTGATCATCTCCTCCTCCACCTTCTCTGTTCACTTTCTCCTCCTCTTCCACTATTGAGGATGCGACCATGCGACCTCTTCTTCCTCTTATTCTCCTTCTTCTTCTTCTTCACCATACTGCTACAGTGCTACTTGCTGTTGAATTTGATTACTTTTTCTTCTTCTAAAACATGTCACTGTAAATTTTTTTTCCAAGATGCTGTTGAACTTGATTGCTTATCTTGAGGAATGAGCAGATAAGGGGTCTCTATTTTTCTCAAATTTTTTTTTTAATATATAAATGGGTTGCCCGTAACCCAGTAAAACCCACCTATTTATCCTAACCCATTTACAACAGGTTTTAACAGGTTGATCATAGGTGTAGGTTAGCTCGTACCTGTGTAACACTAAACTGGTGGGCTATGGATTAGGTCACGGGCTGCCCAACCTGGTCGTTACTTAGCCCTATATTTGATCCGTCCAATTTATTTCAATTTTATGCTTGGACAGGCCAAGCCAGGTGACCCTTTTTTTTTTTCCAATTAGTTCCCCCCTCCCCCAAAACAAAAACAAAAAGGGCTCTTATCATTGGACATACTCCTGAAATCAAGCAAGACTTGTGTTACATAAGTTTTGTCTCATAAAACTTAAAAAGATACGAATTCCTCATCACCTTTCATCACCAGTTACGGCCCATCTTCATGGATGCCTTTTAACCCAGGCACATTAGTGGGCTCTTCCGGTTTACTAATTAAGGCAGTAGGTTGAGGCCTAGCTTGCCCACCTAAGATGATGCTGTTTGGTTTCGGGCTCCATTGTGGGCCCTCCATAATGGGTAAGCGTATTTTCAGTTCCACTACGGTTACGATGCAATATCCATAAATGGAAGTTACAAAAAAAACATACGCAGATTGAACCGATGGGTTGGATTTGGATTTAGAGGAAGCTATTCTTCCAAGTTCCAACACGGTGAACCCGATTAGAATGGCGTAAAACTAAAACCTCTCGGCCTCGTCGTCACAGCCCTGGTACTGGAATATTGGGGTTTTGGCGCTGGAGCGTCTCCTCTATCGTCATCGGCTCTGCTTCGCTATCTGGTAATCTCTCATTATTGCCTCTGTTTCAGCTGTCCTTTTCCCATTTTGATGCGCGTTGATTTTGGTGCTGACGTAAGAGAGAATGCGGCTTTCCATCTGACATGTTTTGGTGGATGGTGTAATCCAGTTTCCCGATGACTTGGAAACTTAATTTTCTTAAAAAAGGAAAATTGAGTTTGTATTCCTATCTTGATCGGTACACAGACGGTTCATTAATTTATTTTTTGATATTACGTGCTAAGCATCTTACAAGTTTCTGACTATCTGGAAAGTTAAAAGTTCCATGATCTTCTCCTCAAGTTATTTTCTACCTGTGTTTTTAATTTTCAACTTTTGCCTTCATGGTGTTTGATAGAAAGCCTGAGAAAATGGTGCTTGGTTGATTAATGTTGAAATGTAGGAAAAATGGATAACCGAGCCCAAAACTATCACTGAATATCATTTTTTTTTTCCGCCATCATCGCTGAAATATCACCAAATATAATGAATATTATGTTTTAGGTTCCTCCTACTCTTCAGGGTTCCGGGTCGCTAATAGATGTAAATAGTCACGGCATTATGTGACATGCAAGTTAGTTGAACTTGATGTGTTAGACTTCTATTTTGCCGTGACCTTAACGTTGAGCTATGTTAAACTGATAATTATTCCATCCTTTTGATGTAAGCTGAATTTAGATTATCTTAGAGTAAATTGGTGGTATGCATGCTTTCTTTATTGTTTATATTTTTGGTGTAAAATTTAATTATCCTTAGAAAGGAGCGTTTAATTGCTGATATTTTTATTTGTCTTTACTTTACCGCTTTTGAAACATAGGAAGTAATCATTAATTGAATGTGTTTTATGTTTGTTTCTCTCTCAGCTGCGCTGTTTTCATTCCTTGGTTCTGGTAGACTGGGCTGGACATGGTTTCAACTTGAACTAGATATGCGCCAAAACGTGGAGGCCAATAAATGGGATCAGGAAGCTTTGTGTGGAGTTTAACAAAGAAATTTGTCACATTTGGGCTCATTACTGTCACAGTAACAGATCGTTATGTGACCATTGTTCCAGTTCGTGGTGGCTCGATGTCTCCCACATTTAATCCTAAAGTCAGCTCTTTGGTGGGAAATATTTCTGGTAAATTTATTGTCAAGAGAATTATATAAGAGTAATCTTTTGGTTTTTTTTTTTTTCAGTTGTTTTACTATTTCAGATTTTGATTTTTGACATTTGATTATTTTGCAGATGACTATGTCTTGGTTGAGAAATTTTGTCTTGGAAAATATAAGTTTTCCCGTGGTGATGTAGTGGTATTCCGGTAACCTTTTTTGCCTGTTTTCATGTAGCTTATTTATTTCATCTATGGTTTCATATTGCATAATTGGATATGTTTCTTGTGTGATGCATGAGAAAAACAATAGCTTAGTTTTTGAAAAATTGTTATTTTTTTACTCATTCGATTTTAAATATAAAACCTATTTTATAATGTATTTAGTCATATATTTAGGACTGGAGGAGTAATATTTAGATCTTATTGAAATGTGTATGAAAAAACCAGACATATAGAAAAGTTGGGGAGTCCAATACTTTTGTTCTTCATTCCTTCTAATATTTAGTTTGATAGCCTCCTTAGCACGATACTTCTTATCAATGATATTGGCCATGTTACTAGGATAACTCATCTACAAGTGAGTTCAACATTTTTATTTTGAGATTGTGTAATTATTACATTCTGAACTTCTGCAGCTCCCCCTTGAATTACAAGGAGACACACATAAAGAGAATTGTTGCATTACCTGGTGAGTGGTTTGGTGCTCATCGTAACTATGATGTGCTGAAGGTTCCAGAAGGACATTGTTGGGTTGAGGGAGACAATGCAGCTTCCAGCCTGGATTCAAACTCATTTGGTCCTGTAAGCTTCCATTTTTATACTAAAGACGAGAAAACAATCATTTTTTGAATGATGGTGGTAATACGTCTGGTCATAACTAGACATCTTATTACCCTCTTGGCGAAGCCTATAGAATTCAAATATTAGCAGGAGTTCATTGTTAGCTTAGCATTGCACTCTGGTGTTCTCATGCATTCTATCACAGGCAACAAAATGCACACCACAGAAGTCGACCAACTTATCTTTAATTGCTAGAACAATACTTCTATCAATTGCCCGTAGTCACTATGCTCGCTGATTACAAAGAATTAGAGGCGAGGAGCTTCAATTTTTGCACTATCTATTGATTTCGGTTCGTTATGTATTGAAGAAACTAAAATTCACTATGTTTTTATAACCAAACTTTCTTGCTCTCTGACTTGAACTACTGTGCACGTTTTGGGTGCTTATGACAAATATTGGCACTGAGCTCTAAGCGTATCTGTCCTTTAATGGTATAGTAGTTCCCTTTTTTATATATTCTATGGGACACCTCACTTCAAATTATCTGTCTTGATAGAATAAATAAAAATCTCTCAACATTCAGGTAACCTAAAAATTGTGTTTGCAGATTCCTTTGGGTTTAGTTCGAGGAAGGGTGACCCACGTTGTATGGCCTCCTCAAAGAATGGGCGCGGTAAAGAAGACCCCACCGGAAGGAATTTCTTCTTAATTGTTGAATCTCTTGTTGAATCTCTTGTGCCAATCCCTGTGGCCTCGTCAGGACAAAACAAATTTTTGCTCAAATTATTTCCTTCTGGACAGATAATGATGTATATTTCATGACGGTACATTTTTGCTGCCATTGACTTTGAAGCGAGGATGGCCCAAAAAAGAGAAAGAAAACTTGTGAGTGAGATGCATTTGATTTTCAGCTCTCTTGTGTAACCTTCACATGTAGGAACATAGGTTTGATTTGTTCCAATATTAATTTTGTAGGAAATTTCTTGATTGCATTTTTACATATTTGTTGAATTACTCCCTCGGCTCCTTTTTACAAGCTAGCTGGTTAGAAATATTAGGTGAAACTAATAGGTGAGGCTCTGTTTGGATAGCAGGCCAAACCAAGACCCAAACCATGGTTTGGGAAAAAAACAACTCAAACAGGCACAAATTATCTGAAACCATAGTTTTGGAACCCAAAACCATAGTTTCGGGAGAAGTGAATCCATTCTGCTTCTGACTCAAATTGGAGAGTATGATTGTGCCTATTAGAGTAAATCTCAACAATAATATGATTTTAACACCTCTTAATTAATTTTTTATAAACATATTTAATCTTATATCTTATAAATAAATATACACATATTAATTATTTATTAATTATATTATCTTATGTATTATTAATTATGTTGGTAAAAAATATATTATCAACAATTTTATTCTTTCAAATTAAAATATATCATACAATCTATGTTTTATGTAATTATCATATTAACTTATGTTTTTTTTTAATAATTTGTACATATAAAAAGTGCTTCTGATAATAACTATCCAAACACTCTCACTTCTCAGAATCACTTTTTCACAAAATCTATTCTTTACAAAATCTATTTTTTCCAGAATCTATTCTTCAGAAGCTATTCTCCAAACCATGGTTTGGTTTCATCCAAACACACCCTAAGACTTTAGGCAAAATGACATATAAAGGAGCCTCTTAATGAGAAAAAAAAAGACAATTCTCTCTCTCCCCCCCGGGGGCGGGGCGGCCATGACAAAGTATGGAGAGGGAGAAAACTAGCTCAAGTCAGTGATCAAGTGATCTCTACACACTTAACTAGCCCAAAGGCCCAATATTAATACCATTCCAACACAAAAGGTGCATCTTTCGTTCTCCACTGCAATCCCCACTAACAAAACTTTTCGCATTTCCTCACATATACACTCATGGCAGGAGGAAAGTTTGCTCATCAAATATGCATATGTGCGAGTAGACGCGCACCTACCAATTTTTAGCTTTTTTTTTTTTTTTAATTGGGAGAATTACAATCATATCTGAAGTATGCGATTTAATTACCCTAAAATTCATCAACAAGTGAAGAATCAATAATGATAATTTTCAAATGAGGAAATAATAATAAGTTCAAACTGGTTATTTGTTATTGAAATTTTTTAGTAATTAAATTTTTTTCTTAAGACTTTTTAGTAGTTCTCCCTTTTTAATTCAATAATTAAGAAGAAAATTTATTTGATCAATATTAGATTCATAGATGTAATCACTGTTTTTTTTTTTTAACACATGCACATGATATCCTGGTTAACCCCTCGAGAAATTATAAAATAAACTAATCCAGATTGGGCCATAGTAAGAGTCATATGCAATCACTTATATATACTGCTAATTTTTTTAATTGAATTAAAATTTGAAAAATGTGATTTTTTCCCCATTGAATAACATGATGTACATAGAATCTAGGGAGAATTTTAATCAAGTTTCAAGAAAAGGATTTAATTACCTTAAAATCCATTGACAAGTGAAGAGTAAGCAATAATAAGTTCCAGAATAAAGAATGACAACTAATTTAGATTGGTTGCTTATCATTTGAACTTTTTAGTAATTAAATTTTTTTTAAGATCTCTTAATAATTCTCCCAATAATCTAACCAGAAAATTACACCTCTCAAAATAATGTACTTATTATATTTTTATTTAAAGCATAGTTTTTTTAAATTAAATACCAATAGGCACCACTTTGCAAAAGAATCTAAACAGTTAGCATAACGAGCGTCATCTTCCGCCCGTCATTCACGAAGCCCAAATTTCAGTGACCATCCCACTACCGAGTGTTAGGATTCGAATGCCTTTGCACTTTTTCCTGGTAAACGATTCAATGAATTCCTTCGCTGTCTTCGTTCATGATTCTCACCCTCAATCTGTATTGTTTTCGTCGCCATATGTATATCTAAGATTTTTCCTAATTGTTGTTCCTTGTTAGTTCGGCCACGTGCTTTGAATTGCATTGCCTGATGTCTCCTCTGTTAGATTGATTTTATCTATTATTTTGATTTGGCTTTTCTGGTTCTAAGAGGTTAATATTTCTCATTTTTCTTTTTCGGCTTGTGATTTACATATATTTGATATCTTTTTTTTTCTCCTTGGTCGTTTCGTGAAGGGAAATTCGATTCATTATTTCTTGGGGCTTCAAAGGTGATAGATTGGAGTGACAGGGGATATGGGAAGGTTGTTCTTAGTCAATCTGGAAGGAAGCATATATAGCTGCAAGTACTGCCGTACGCATCTTGCTCTTCTTGATGATATCATTTCCAAGGTTTCATTTCTCTTCCCTGAAACTTGAATTTTACTTTCTGGATTTTGATTGTGCAGTTTTCTTATGGACATTTCTGGGTTCTCTTTGTAGAATAGATATAAGCTAATAAGCTACCTAGGAAGTCCCATTACTGGTATGATAGAGGGCACACAATGAACCTGAGAGGGAGGGAAGGAGTATAATTTTAGGGGTGACAAGATATGAGGAAATCAATTGATCGAAAAATCAAACATTATCAGATATATATATTCTTATCCCTTAAATCATATTGTGTTGTCTTTGAAGCACTGCAAGTATGGGGAGGAGCCGTATCTGTGCCTATCTCTGGGTCTTGATGTGTTTTAAACTTTTACATAAACACTCAGGCTGATATACTGAACTGCCCTTTTAGGAATCTAATCATTACTCTTTAAACCACTTAAAAAAAAAAATATTTGAAGACATATGAGATACAACTCTTCAATGTCATTTCTCGTGCCAATGCTTCATCTTGTTGTGTTGATATATTCTTTTGTTGTCATGCGATTCTTTGACTGTAGGAGGATCTTTTCTTTGTGCTATATCACGCTTATTTTGGAAAGAGTGGAAAAGTCTCACTTTGTACACTGTGTCTTGAAGTGATAATTGTTATTCTTGTTTGAAATGGTGTTTGAATGAATGCAACTTTTGTTATCTAAAGAAGTTCATTGCATAGATGACTCTTGTAATCCTATGATGAGACGATTTTACTTGTTTATGGAGGAGAAATCTAATTGGTGCAGCACATAATATTAATGATACAATTCTTCAATCAGTCTTCGTGTATGGCAGAATTTGGGTAATTTTGATTATATCTCCATCAAAGCATGCCAATTTTTTCAATGGTGAAGTTGTGGGATTTTTTAATTGAAAAATGCTATGTCAAATGGGGATCTTTGGAAGCAATTGAGTTGGCATTTGTTATATACATATTTTGTCTACAGAACTTCTTTTTGACTCAGCCTTTTCCTCTAGTGACTTGTTTAAAAAGAAGAGAAGCATTTGGGAAACTTACATCGTAGTTGATTTTATCTTCCTTTTCATGATTTCCTATATGCACTCTGAATCATTAATTTGTACTGTGCATTTCACAAATTTCTTGCATCCAGAAAATGGAATCATCTGTGCAATCTAACTCTGTTTTTTTTCTTTTTTTCCTCCTTTCACAAGTCTTTCCATTGCAGGCATGGGAAGGCTTACCTATTTAATGAAGTGTAAGTGTTATTTCGAGTTGAGAGAAGCATTAGAAGTTGGGAATGGAGATACTAGATTCTGTTTATGCTGCTATGTTTATAATATTAAAATTTCTAGAATTTGCAATATCTTGAGAGGAACCCAATAACTTGGTACATGCTTCATCAGTTCATCTTGAATGTGCTGATGTGGAATTCTTGCTGATTGAAAAAGTTCAAGTTCTGGACTTCTGGCATAATGTCAGGGTGAACTTATGGGGACTTTTTTGAAATCCTGTTTTCTCTTCTTTATGGCAGTGTGAATGTCACAGTTGGAGAGAAAGAAGAGCGGATGATGATAACAGGATTGCATACTGTTGTTGACATATTCTGTGTCACATGTGGGTCCATTGTTGGATGGAAATATGTGAGGACCATCTCTAAGAGCTCATTATCTGTGATTTACTTGTTTTCTTATCATGCTGTTGTTATTGTGAAGTGTTCCTAAATGCCTATTCCGCTTTTGTTCATTTAGGAGGCTGCACATGAGAAAAGTGAAAAGTACAAAGAAGGAAAATTCATTCTTGAAAGGTAACCAGTCCAGTCTGTTATACTTTTTGGGTATACCCCTGAAGTCCCGTACATTCCTTGACTTCAAATCTTCTTTTCGGGCAATCTTAAGAGTATACTCTATCCTGAGTCTGATGCATTTAGAATTGTATGGATATGCCATAACATGCTTTTTGAAGGAATTGAACCTAGATTAGTATGGATATACCTTCTTTGTTTATCAACTGAGCTAACCCCTTTGATGCTAGATTGTTATTTTTAGTGGAGGTTTACTATGCCATTTCAGTACTTGACCTTTACTTTTTGGTGGTTCATTAATACACCCTTTTGGTGACATGATCTGTTCTTGAGTAGGTTTAAGGTTGTTGGCCCTGATGGCAGCAGATACTTGCAAGCTCAAGAAGCTCATATTGCTGGAAGTGATGATGGTGATGACGCTTGATTTTCTCATCTTAGGATCATTCCATTTCGTATTTGAATTGTACATTCTGTATGTTATTATTCTCTTTCAACTATACCATACCATCATTTAGAGTAGTTTGCTTTGAAACTGAGGAGCTTCTTCCTGCCAGGATTCAGAATGACGGAAGCCGAGATTAATCAAAAGAAATCTATAATACAAAATTCATATAAATTTTGGAGAGGTGAAAAAAAAAAAAAAACTCCTTTTGGTTCTAAATTTAAGATTTTGTGTGTAGTGCTCAGAACTAGAGATAGTATCTATGTAATCCTAAGAAAAAAAAATTAAGAACTCGGGGCCATGAAGAAATTAGAGTGCAAAAGTGGAAACAGAAGAAATTGTTTATGCAGTGAAAGAAATAAAAGATCAAATACATGAAGAAACTGTTATAACAATCTTCTTCCTTATGGTATTTATGTTTTAATCATTGGTTCTTTGGATGCCTCAATGTATTCAAAGATTCCATTGCAATTTAACCTCTTTCCCATGACTACTTGCGTTTATGATAAAATACTGCATAAGCCACCATGATTGTGTAATGAACACACTTAATACTATTTTAGGTCCTAAATGTAAGATCTAGTTTGTAGTGCAAATGTGGAAGTAGTATAATGAGAACAGATTAAAAATAGGAGGGCTAAGCCGGTGAATGACGCTAACTGTAATTCTCTACTGAAATTCATGAAGCTGAAGCTGATACACACACACACACACAGATGCATGTGGGTGCGGTGTGTGCATAACAGTCGCAAATCTAGAACCAATGAAAAAAAACCAGAAGACGCCGTAGCCCCTCCCAGTATAACCCTCCTTCACTTCTAATGACTTGTACCTTTCTATTTTTCTTCGCCTATTCCTTCCCCAGATGGCCAAGCCATATTTTCTCTTGGCCCATAATAAATTCTGGGATCATGGCTGAGTGACATCTTAATCACATATGACATTCATGTAAATTGAAACTGAAGACAGCAAACAGTAAGCTCCTTTCCTTTTTATCGCCTTGAACCAATAGATAGACATAATCCAATTGGAAACTCCATACATAAGATTTACCAGAAACTCTTGTAACTTCAGTCGCTTCAGAATCTGTGAAGCTTTCCCAATTGCCTCCTCAGGTCCACTTTTCTCTTCAAATACTGAAATAACTAGAAACATAATCGAAGCAACTACTAGGTACATATGAAAAGCTATGACCAGAAACATTGTCGCTTGGAGAAATGTTGTTGGGCGAAATGGAGAAGCAAAATTCTTAAAGGGGAAAATAGAAAGGAATGCTAGGAAAAAATAACCAGGGTCTAAAAGAGATACATAGAAACAAGTAATAAATAGGGAAATTTGGTAAAAAAAAAAAATCATGTTTGAAAACTTAATTAGCTAAAAAGACTTAAATTAAACAAATGTAATTATAATCTATGAGTGTAATTATTTTTCGTTGTGTGTAACATATCTTCTGCTATGTGCAAATGATTTTTGTATTGATTATTGTTGTATATTATTGATAATATGTTGCATACAGTGGAAGAAAGTTATACTCACGGATTATAGTTCCAATTGCTCAAATTTAAGTCCATTTAGCCAATTAAATTTTCAAACAAGGACTTTTAACCAAATTTCTGTAATAAATAGCCTTTGACAAGACCTGACTGCATTTGACAGAAAATATCTAAAAGACAAGTTTCATACTCCATAAAGTTGCAGCTGATGTTAAAACAGTAACGGTTGATGAGCATAAGGAGGCCATGCAGAGGGCTACCTAAACCCTGGTTTAATCCTTGACAAGTTCTTCCAGGAAAACCTTAATGGAGAAGAATTTGCATGTGAAGAGGAAAGAGTGGAGGAGGAGGATGAGCAAGGTGATGGAGGCCGCAAGGGATTTGTTATGAGTCCCACATATGGGGTTCTCTCTCTCGTCGTGCTAGTCTTCTAGAATTAAACTCTCATTTTAAACTTGTGCTTGCAACAGTGTGTGGGGTGCGAGTTGTGAGCAGACCGGTCATTTTACTTGCTAAGTGCTCCTACTTCCACGACATCGTTTCATTTAACACCCTTCTTTCAATTGGTCAGATGATGGACCAAGTTCATTTAGTCATTTTGTTCAGGTCAAAGTATCCATACTTGATTTTGGATGGCGACCAACCATTAGTAAAAGTGTTTGCGTACCTCTCTAATCTACGCTCAAGGAAAATTCTTCAAACCAAATCAGATTTAAAACATACGAAGCATATGATGAACGCTAATCCTCTTACAGAATCTTATTTTCAACGAGTAATTGCAAAAAGCTCAAAAGCATTTGCAAATATAAATAACACTAGACTTCAATTGGAAACAGAAATAAATGATCAAATAATACATATAAGAAATTTTAACAACTTTTCTTCCTCATGGTATTGCTGCCCCAACCATTGTTGGTTCAATTGACGCCACCTTAGTGTATTCCAAGCTTCCTTTCAATTCAACCTCCTCTTCCTGTCTCAGCTTGCACTTATGGTATAACACTGTGAACCCCATGTCCAGTAGCATTTTAATCAGACAACCAACGTTTAACAAAATTAATCCCATTAAAAGCGGATTAATGTGAGTTCCATTCTGTGTGTTCTTCATGGACCACCATATATACACAATCAAACCAGGTACTCCATAAACAAGATTTAGCAGAAACCCTTGTAACTTCAATCCCTTCAATATCTGCGAAGCCTTCCCAAATGCTTCAAGACCACTTTTTTCTTCAAGTACAGAAATGACAAGAGACATTTTCCAGAAAACTGAGAGGTACATTTGGAAAGCTGATACGGGAATCAGCAGGACATAGGCAAAGGTTGTTGGGCGAAATAATGGAGAAGAAAAATTCACAGAGAAGGGAAGAATGAAAGACAGTTCAAGGAAAATGTAACCAAGATTGAAGAGAGATATGTAGAACCAAGTGGTTATTGGCCTTTTGCAAGATTTGAATACTCTTGATAGCAAATCTCTGAAAGATAAGTTTGCTTCTGCATAAGTTACAGCTGAAGCCAAAATAGTAATGGCTGATGAGAATACAGAAGCCATGAATAGAGCAAGAATGAAGAACCATTCAAGTCCTGCAAATTTGCGAAAATACGATGTCATAGAGGCAACGATGTCGGTATACTGAGAGCTACCTGGACTTGCGAAAAAAGTTCAGTTTGCTTCATGAGAAAATCTTGCGTCAAAGGCATAATGGAGAAGAAATTGCACAAGACGAGGAAGGATTGGAGAAGAAGGATGAGCAAGGCTATGGAGACCATAAGGCGTTTGTTTTTCAGGAAAATGAGAAGGGATTCCCTTAGAATTCCCACAAAGCTTGAAAGTGAATTGGATTCCATCTTTAGATGATTGTTTTTGATACCTCAGATTGAACTATATGGCACAGGAAAGAGCTCAAACAATAGCTATCTATTTATATTATCTAAGCTGGCGTTTTTCCTTCTGAACTGGTCATATATTTCATGCGTTTGACTTTGGAAGGAAGTTTCGGGGATCCATCTTTAGATGATTGTTTTTGATACCTCAGATTGAACTATATGGCACAGGAAAGAGCTCAAACAATAGCTATCTATTTATATTATCTAAGCCTGGCGTTTTCCTTCTGAACTGGTCATATATTTCATGCGTTTGACTTTGGAAGGAAGTTTCGGGGACATATGCTAATTTAATTGTATAACCAAACGCGAAAGAAAAGTGATCAGCACAGCTCTCATTATTGGGAAGCAACAGCGAATTTAGGATTTGCAGAAATGTTGGAGATTATTATATTGGAATTAAGGCCCAAACTAAATTTTTGGTTTTAAAACTCACTTTTGAAGAGTTCAAAAGCGACTGCAATGATGAGTCTTGACTTAGTCCATAGAAGGACAATTGATTATGATGAGTTGATAAGTCCTTCCCAACACTAACATATACAAGTCAAAGCTCTTTGTGGATCATAAGGAACAAAATCATGTGCAACCATCGCAAATCATTCACAACAACAGGACATCAATGAGCTTTTATTTTTGTGGGACTAATCCAACAATCCCGTAGGTTTTAGCGAAAAGAATTAGTTTGACGGACTTGATTCTCTTGACTGTTTATCATTCAGTCATTTTCCCGCAAGTCAGAGAATCGATACTCAAATTTGAATGGCCATTGTATTGTTCTGCTGATATATATATATATATATATATATATATATTGGTTGAGTAGATATAGTACTATGTTTCCGTTTTATTCAAAAGATAAAATTGGATGGCCATTTGGAGTGCCACCACTCCATGAGAGCTGGGCTTCTCTGTTTCTGTTTTTCCATACATGCGCTCGTGTCTATCTAATCTATACTTTATCAACAGAAATTTCTTTGAAGTTTGAATTATTTGAAGGTGATAGAATATCAAACTTGAATTAACGTCTCTCGTACTTTCCTAGCCAACTTGCAGAATCAACATACCAATATATATGTGTGCATATAAAAATTATAACAATTCATACTATTTACAAAGCTATAATAACTTGTAAAACTGGAGTACATGTAAACCAAACTGAGTCTGAAAACAATGACACGTCAAAATACGAAAGGTCAAGCTTAATCAGATAGACCAGAGATAAGCTTCATCAATATATTGAAGAGGGAAACAATCTCCGTGACTGCTTGAGATCTATGAAGCACATGAAGAAATTATTGTAACATGTTTCTTCCTTATGGAATTTCTGATCCAACGGTTGGTTCATCATCGGACACCTTAGTGTATTTCAAGCTTCCTTGCAACTCAACCTCTTCTCCATGGCTCTGCTTGCACATATGGTATAACACTGTGAACGCCACCACAATCAACATCTTGATCACACAAGCAACGTTTAACAGAATCAGTCCCGTAACCAGCGTATAGTAAGTTCCTTTCTTTGGGCTCTCCTTGTACCACCAGATATACCCAATCAACACAGGTACGTCATACATAAGATTTAGCAGAAACCCTTGTACCTTGAATCCCTTCAAAATCTGCCAAGCTTTCCCAAGTGCCTCAAGTCCACTTTTCTCTTCAAGCACTGAAATCACAACAGACATTCTCCAAACACAGCGAGGTACGTATGGAAAGCTGACATCGGAATCAACATGACATAAACAAAGGTTGTTGGGCGAAATAATGGGACAGAAAAATTCACAGTGAAAGGAAAAATCATAGAGAATACTAGGAAAACATAACCAAGATTAAAGAGAGATATGAAGAACCAAGTGACTATTGGCCTTTTGCATGTTTTGAATAATCTAGCGAGCAAATCTCTGAAAGATGTTTTTCCTTCTGCATAAGTTACTGATGATGCCAAAACAGTAATGGCTGATGAGAATAAGGAGGCGAAGGAGAGGGCAAGAATGAAGAACCATTCGACTGCTACTAACTTGTGAAAATCTGATGTCATAGCTGTAACGATGTTTGTATACTGAGAGCTACCTGGCGTACGAGACACTCTGGTACTGGAAATAACACAAGAAATGGTTATCTATTATATTAGCCTTAGCGTTTTCCTTCTGAATCAGTCTGAATGGAGCTCCTTGAAGATATGCTAATTTATAGAAAATGAAACAAGACAGAAATTTAGATCAGTACGGCTTTATTAGTTTAATTGTGTAGACATAGTATTGTGGATTACATTAATTAATATAGGTCTGACTTACAAACTGGAGGGAGATTACAGCTCTTATAAATACTAATAGAATAACGTTCACAGTATTAGTGTATACTAGTCAAAGGCCTCTTGCATGTGTACACTGAATAAATACTAATAGAATAACGTTCAATTCTTTCCGAAACTTGGTGCGAAAGTAATATATGTTATTACCGTTGAGATATTTAAATCGACTGAATCGTTCTTTAAGAAAAAGACTGCCTGAGAAGTGGTCAAGAAATCTGGTTCGTGTGATTCATCTATCTGTCTGATATTCTTACACGGGTAACATTTTTTTTGTTTTTATTTGGAGACGTCATTCCCTGCTTTTGAAAATTATTGTTTTTCTTTATATTAGTCTGCCAGATGGATGCTTGCCCCTGTTATCTGGATGATCTCCTATTCTGTTCGCAGAAAGTCGTCTAGTTGCTAGAAGTTCGTTCTAGCTGTTATTTCTTGCCTCTGTAACTCAAAAAAAGTAATACACTCTTTTTTACTAGACATAGGTATCTTCTTATTAGAAGCCATTTCATTCGAGACACTATTAGATATTTATGAGTATCTTAGGATTTGAATATTGATTCGTCATATTTTGAAAAATTAGTTCCTTCTGTTAGCCTCAACTCTCGCCGTTAATAAATCCTTATTTGTATTACTTTAATATCATGTGGGCCTATACAGATATTAAACTGATAAAAACAGACACTACACTTGATCTTAGCCAGAAGAAGGTCGCGAAAGGTATTCCCATTTATATCACTGTAATGGTCAATTGGTCACAAAGGATTTATCTAGGCCAGGATGGGAACTCCATGAGAAGCCCAAGACACGTACAAATGTGAAGGAGCCAGAGAAAGGGGAGATAGGGAAAAGAATGTGAAAATTGCTGAATTACAAACTAAATTTTCTTTTAAGAACTGGAGGCAGTATTTTATTTTGACCATTAATTATAGTTGCACCTAAACTATTTTATCTTCCTGCACCAAGATAGTAACTGCTTGAATGCTAAATAAGTTGTTTTCCTTAAATTGTGAAAGCTTCACAAATCCCATCAGTTACAAATAGTGAAAAATTATAGTTGCACATGAGTTGTAAATTGTGAATCAAATCTGAACACTTAAAGAATTCAGCCAATTGATACGGCAGCTTTTAAAATTTAGTCTTTTGGTTTTTATGATTAAGCTTTGGGGATTTGTAAGATTCCACATTTTACAAGTGATTTGCCATTAATTTTAAGTTACTTAACCTACGATTCCTATTTGCAACTAAACTTCAAATTTACAATAAAACTTTCACCATTTATTCATTTGCAGCTAATCTTTTCGAAGATTTGGAATTGAGCTTCTGCAATTTACAACTCATCTTTTGCCATTTGCAATTAAATTATGAGTCAATTACTTCTTTTTTAAAACTTTGAAAATCGTTCTCTATAATTTTCAAAATTCATGCTCGCCTTTATAACCACTAATTTCCTTCCATGGTCCCTTTGTGTCATTACCCCTTTTGGATACTTCTTAATTAGAAGCAACTTTCTCTTAATCATGCATTATATTATTAATTAGGTGTATGCATAGATGTTTTCTCCATAACAAAAATATATAATGAACCTTGTGCACTGCTTTCCAAAGCTAGCTTAGTAGAATTAGACCCACGCCTTAAACAACCTAAGTATCTATATATGTCACTCACTACACATATATAGTCTTATTGTGATTGGCAAAGCTCAAAGCATCTACGTACATGAAACAGCATGTCCAGACAACGCTGAAAGAAACAAACGACCAAAATACATAATTAAGGTAACTAATTATAATAACTTTCTTCCCCCTACGGTGCTTCTGCTCCAATCATTGGTTCAATGGGCAACTTAGTGTATTCCAAGTTTCCCTGCAACTCAACCTCTTCTCCATGGTTGAACTTGCACATATGATAAAACACTGTGAACGCCATCATTTGTGACATCTTAGTGAGGCAGGTGACATTCACCAAAATTAGTGCCAGAAACAGTGAGTTGTAAGTTCCTTTCTTCTTTGTCTCCAGGAACCACCAGATCTGCACAATCAAAGCAATTACTGTATAAACAAGATTTAGCAGAAACCCTTGCCCCTTCAATCCCTTCAAAATCTGCGAAGCCTTCCCAATTGCTTCAAGTCCGCTTTTCTCTTCAAGTACTGAAATAACAACAGACATGTTCCAAACCACTGCGAGGAATATCAGAAAAGCTAACACTGGAATTGATATGACATAAACAAAGGTTGTTGGGCGTTGTGGAGAAGCCAAATTCATAGCCAAGGCAAATATGGAAATGGATGCAAGGACTAAATAACCAAGATCAAAGACAGATACGTAGAACCAAGTGATTATTAGCCTTTTACTTGCTTTGAATACTTTTGGCAGCAAATCTCTGAAAGACAAGTTTTCTTTTCCATAAGTTATAGCTGATGCTAAAACTACAGTGGCTGCTGAGAATAAGGAGGCCATGGAGAGGGCAAGAACGAAGAACCATGCGAGTGCTGCAAATAAGTGAACATCTTCTGTCATAGCAGAAACAAGGTTGGTGTACTGAGAACTTTCTGGGCTTGTAAAGAACAGACGAGTTTCTTTCATGGCAAAATCTTTAATTAAAAGCCTAAGGAAGAAGAATTTGCATGAGACGAGGAAAGAGTGAAGGAGGAGGATGAGTAAGGAGATGGAGGCCATAAGGCTTCTGTTTTTCAGAAGAATGGAATGGGATTCTCTCAGAATTCTCACACAACCGGAAAACATATTGGAATCCATCTTGAAGATCGAAGAGCGCTTGGTTTCACTCAGATTGTACTTATCTGATACAAGAAATAGCGAAGCAGTGGTACCCTATTTATATTGGTGTTTGCGCTTTTCTTTTTGAATCAGTCTTACTGTACTACTACTGTTGTTGATGTTACTACCACTCTGTATAATTATTAGGCTAAAAGGGACTATATTTTGATACTATTGCGAGGAAGAATACGCCTAGATTCAAAAATTACTCTTGAAAGATTAATTCCATATCGATCCAAAAACTTGCAAATGTGAAAGTTCCAATAATTATAGATTATTAAGAGTAACTGATACGATTTGAACGCTCGATTTATAACAGCTGATACATCAATATTTGTAATAATTGATATTTAAAACTAGTATCTCAGTTAATTTTTTCAGACAAATTTATTACATTACTCTTTTGGAACCTAGGAATCATTCTCACTTCTTGTACGTTAAAATGATCAATATGTCATTTCGTAAAGACATTATTTATCTTTGGCTGGAAAAAACAAAAGAAATAAACACATTAATTATTTATGAGTTAGCTGATATTATTCTTTTTAAAATTCCATGCATGTATGAGGCAACAAAAAGTTGGAACTTGTGGAGAAATATCCCCAAAGTTTGGCGTGTAAATTGGGGGACGACTCAACGGTCATAAATAAAATAGATGACTTTAAACTTTTGAACGAGTCTTGAAGGAAAATGACCACTCCATCACAAAAAGTCTATCGTGCACATTGGGGTACGACTCTCAAGTCTTTTGCGTGGGGATAGGACTAGGACGTAAACAAAATTAAAATACAGGGGCAAAAAAATACGGGCAGGTTTATTTGGGCCCAAAGTTGACACAAGTATTGGACCCAAGAAAAAATTGAGAAAATTATTGTAAATGGTGGGTGACTCCATGATCAGATATACTTCAGTCTTTTGGGCCTGGTACAAATGAGCCGATCCACAGAAAATATCCAGCCCTTCTCAATCTTTTTTTTTTTGTTAAAGTATAAATATCCTCCTATTGGAGGTAATCCTATTTGAAACACTGTCGAGTACTAAATGTGAATACCTCTCCTAGTAAAAATTTGAAACTTGGTTTGTTCTGAATCTGAATTAGTTTGACCCCCATTAAATCCTTCAGTTGAAGTGGGTAGGCCTTGAATGTTAGATTATCTAACCTCCCCACCCCCTCCCCCAAAAACCCAAAAAAACCAGAATTTGCACTATAATATGAGAAAAAGACACTAAAATGCCCTCAACAATACCAAATGACAAATGAGGGTATCTCAATCTCAAAATCCCAATTCAAGACCTAGGTATTTTTTTGGAATTTTTAAATCTTGTAAAATTACACAAATGTCTTTTACTATTTTTTTTATCTTTTTTTTTTAAAATACTGCAACCTCAGCAATTCCGGCCTTACTCTTTCTTATGTATTGACTACTCTTTTTTAGCTAATAACTACATTTATTATTAAACTCTGATGACATGTTACCAGAACTCTGATGACAGGTCATATGAGCTCCGGTGACTACTCTTTTTTATATATTGACTATTCTTTTTTAGCTATTGAGTACATTTACTTTTAAACTCTGATGACTAATCTTGTTAAGCTACTAACTACTCTTGTAATACAATTTATTACTATTGTGTAGTCAATAGCTATATAAAAATAGTAACCAGAACTTTAAAACAAAAGTAGTCAATAGTTATATGAAAGTAGTCATATAATAAGGACAATATTGTCATTTTACAATATTTAAAAATTCTAAAATAGTATCTGGGGCTTGAATTGATATTTTGAAATTCACTTACCCTAATTTGTCATTTAGTAATTTTAAAGGTGTTTTACTGTCTTTTTCTCATAATATATTGGTATTTTTTTGGTCCCAACGTAGAATTTTTTTGACCAAAGTCAAGTTTTTTATTTTAAGTTTTTCATTTGAAATTAATACAGCATAAGGAGACACAAAAATAAACGTCCCTCCCCCAAGGTCACTCCAAGAACAAAGCAAAGGACATTTTTTTCCTTTTAATTTTCCTTAGGCATATTTGATTTTTCGGTGATAACGTCAAGTGCGTATATAAATATATTAGTCGCTCTGACCGAGTCAGGTACATAATTTACTCCCTCCACCTGCCCTATGTACAGAAAAATCAGTTGAATTCTACCATTATGTGTTTTGAAATAAATAGCTCACTCACAAACAAAAAAAACCATCTTAATATATGCGCGCGCGCGCGTGTTCAAATCTTACATCTGTGTGTAGAAGTATGGGTTTGTCTGTGTGTGTGAATAAAAAAGATGATGGTAGTAGAAATGAGACGTCTTATTAATTACTTCATCCGATCCTTATGGCAACTATGACTTGTTTCATAATATCATATGTTTTCCCTTAAAGCATTAATTTTTTCATTCAATATTCTTAACTAATTAAGCAAATTCCTCTAACTAATAATTTTCAGGGTTAATACAAATTTTGGTACTTCAAATTTATTCTCATTTTGGTTTTAGTTCTTTAAATTTCAAATTACAGGTTTTGATCTATCAAATTTCTTTTCATTTAAAATATTAATCTCTATAATCTAATAAAAACTTGAACCATTTTGCCTATTGAGGAATCAAAACTTATAATTTGAAACTTAAAAGACTAAAGCCAAAATGAAAATAAACTTGAGAAACTAAAGATTATATTATTTCTGATTTCTATTAAGAATAAGGGAAAAAAGCACTAAAATACCCTCAAAATGCTAATAACAAATTATGATGGGCAGATTTCCAAATTTCAAATTCTTGCACTGTTTTAAAATTTTAAAATATTGTGAAATAACAACATCCCTATTGACTACTTTTGTTTTTAAAGTTTCGATGACTACTTTTATATAACTATTAACTACATAAAAGTAATAAATAACTAAACAAAAAGTAGTCACTAAGGGTATGTTTGGATTGGTGTTGGACAAAACTGACTTTTGTAACTGAAGTTAGAGTAAAAGTCAGTTGGTGTAATGCAATTTATGTTTGGATAGATGCTTTTAAAAAGTCAGTTGAAAAAGTCAAAAGTTGTTTGGATAAATTAATAGAAAAGTTAGTTTAGTTGTAAAATGACTGAAAAGGATATAGAGTAGTGTTTGAAATTTTATATTTTTAATGTGATAATAATTTAAAGAAACATGTAAAATTATTATGATAAAATATAAATAGTTTATTTGTAAAATTATAAAATAAAAATATTTGTAACAGAGAAAAATTTGAAAATATATTGTAGATAATTAATTAAATATACATAATGAACAAACATGAATATAAATTAAAATTTATTTGGTCTCTAATTAAAGTAAATAGAATCACATAACTAATTAAACCGTAAGCTTTGCACAATTTTTTCATAAGTCAGTTAGAAAAGTTGATTCAGATTGCGTTGGATAAGTCAGTTAGAAAAGTTACTTTTTTTCATAAGTCAGTTAGAAACGAAACTCAATCCAAACAATCTTCTGAGCTGCAATAAACTACAAACCTCAGTTTCACGCTTTTCTGTGTGCTTTTGGCATTCCAAACGGTAATCCAAACGAGCCCTAAATCTCTAACAACACTTAATGTATTTTTTTGAAACAAAAGTAGTTAATAGTAAAATTAGAATAATTAATAGCTAAATAAGAGTAGTTATCAAATTTTTAAAAATAAAACTATTCAATCACAATACTAGTGTAGTGAGTAACTAAACAAGAGTAGCCATTGAAGTCCTAAAAATAAACACAGTCAATAGCTAAAAAAAAAAAATCAATGTATAAAAAAGAGTAGTTACTGAAGCTCTATTGATTAGTCACTGGAGTTTCGATGATTGGCCAACCACCGGTGGGGTTGTTGAGGTGACAATATTAAAAAATAATAATAATTAAGGGGAAATTAATATTTTAGAATTTATCCACACTGATTTGTCATTATCAATTTTTGCGTTATGTTAATGTTTTTTCGAGAATAATTTTGATATTTACAAAAAAATAATTTTAATTAACTTTAATAATTTATGTAAAATTGTTCTGATTAAATAAGGTAGATGAGAGGAAGTATCAACAATATAATCCATTTTTTTGCATCGGTCAGTTGCTTCCAGTCTTAATTGCTAGAGTACACATGTTGCCATCATGTGAAATACTATTGCCAGGCCATAGACACTATAGTGAAATATTCATTTGTACTATATTATCAATGATCTAGTGCCGTAATTAAATTACTCATATGAAATATATGAATATAAAATTTATAATAGTACTCTACTTCCTAAGTACTCTCATGTGCGTAACGTTAATTATTTTAGTTATTAGTAGCATTGGTTAGTTCAGTTTATAACCAAGTTCATTCGTTCTTCAGTTTAGTTTAGCTCAATACAAAGTCTTCGCTCACACATTGTAATTTCTTTTTGAATTAAAAAATAACGAGTCCAGATTTCGCGATCTGTAAGTGTGTGGTCTATAAACGGTGCTTGTGATGGCTTGATGCCCTGATGCCTGATGGTGATTCTTCCTCCGACACATACTGTCGGAAATTAATTACTTGATGCTGATACTTTGTCCCATACATACCATAAGAAATTAATTAATTTTTCTCACGAAAGTTTAATTAAATATATTTTAACATGATAAAATTTTTCTATATTTTACTAAAAAAATGATAAAATTATTTTTAACATTACACTTTTATCATCTCTCATATCTCATATCTCTTCTATATTTAAGAGGAATAAAAATAAAAAATCATATTAATCATCCTAATAACATTTGATTTTTTTTTTGACCTGGAACAACATTTGATATTTTGAATCACAATTTTTTGGAGCCGTCTTTTGTTATGGATAGGAAGGAGTAGCTAATCGCTTTCTATGTACGGAGAAATTAATGATGACAACGTTTTTTTTTTTTTTTTGAACCAGATTTTATCGACGATGCTTGGAACTCTACTTTCGATAAATTTATTTACCATTAGAACTCTTTGCTTG